CGACGGACAGTGAATAATAAACAATATTTACAATTCAGTATCATGATATATCTAGTAAGCATATGCAGGGTTTGAATTAACAGTGCAATGTGCAATTTCAACATCACTTTTCCAAACGATGTGCAAAAAAATCAGACTTAGGACTGTTAATGAACACCCATCTATATTTACGTGTGTAGATTTAAACAAAGCCAATCTGTTGTCTTATAATTTATAGTGTGTTTGCATGCACACTAGCAGCATGTTTGCAGAGGGAGGTGTAAAATTTTAGCCACCATGACAGACAAACACATGACTGATCAATGTTATGTGTTAGGTTTAAATACCAATGATTGCAAATAAAGTATTCAAATAATTAAATTTGACAGTTTGATTAGAACCACATACTAATTCGAACCCTGAACATATGATGTCTATTCATAAGTCAGAAAGTATGATAATAGGAACAATGATGATTAATAATTTCTATTGTACTTCAATCTAGTTTCCAAACCATGTATTCTATTCACTGAGGTATGAGGCTGGTTCACTAAGCCTAGGAAATACTGGGTACTAACAAATAACAACTAGGGCCAGGCCAAAAAAGATTGTGGGTTTCTATTTCTCTTTAAACTAGGTGGGGTAAGTCGGTTTAATCTTTTTTTCTAAACTTTCTTCATTGATCAAAAGGTCAGCTGCCATATTTGTACCCTTTTTAACCCATTGAGCTGCAGTGCGCCTTACTTTTTTTTTACTTGTCTAACGCCAGGAGATTTTACTTGTCAATGGGAAAGCTCTGCAGCTTAATGGGTTAACCAAAAAAATCTGACAATGTCTCTAGTTAACCCATTCAGCCGCAATGCGCCCTACTTCTTTTACTTGTCTAACACCAGACGATTTCACTCGTCAATGGGGAAGCTCTGCAGTTTAAATAAAAAGTTACTTAAGGGTTGGGATTTCATGTCCAAATGATAGGTACTGTATAGTATAATAGGTATAATCAGGAAACCTGAAACCCACATATTTTTATTTGGTCTTATAGCCTTAAGAACATTTGTATTTCTCTGTTCCTTACCAAGTTTGCTTTTTTCCCAAGTGTAATAAATGTTGTTGTAAATCTGTCGTCCACTGCACGGATATTTTCCATTAAAACTTCATTGATGATAAGGTGTTGCACAAATTTAATTGAGTCCGCGTCATTTTTAAAAGCATTTTTTCCAATGCCATAATGGGGAATTAGGTGAAATCCTTTTGCTTCTATATCACGCTTTGACTTTGAGCCTTTGAAAGTGAGAGCAAGCTGCTTAACATTAATCTTGGCATGAACTGCCAACATTTCTTCAAGACAAATACATGTGTTGATGGTTTCCATGGTGTAATCCTTGGGTAATGGTGGTGTTGTAAGACAATTGTCACATGATCCATTACAGTTTATATCAAATCCATCATCAAAGTATTCTAGGATGAGCTTTCTTCGGCATATTGATGACATACAATAAGACACAACTCTGTTCAATGAATGTGTCTGGAATTCCATGTGATCTTCAGATGTTGATTTGTAAATTAGCTGGATCAGTTTATTTCTGTCCTCAAACCGAAACATGAGAATACAATAAGAGGTGTTTCCATCACGACCAGCTCTCCCAGCTTCTTGATAGTATTCTTCAAGAGACCTAGGTAAGCTAAGGTGGATCACAAAACGGACATCAGGTTTATCTATGCCCATTCCGAACGCACTTGTAGCACATATTACCTGTGCCTTTCCTGATAACCAAGCTCGAGCATTGTCAGTTCTCTCAAAGTAATCAAGTTGACCATGGTAATATACACATGAAACACCTTTGGATTTAAATATGTAGGCCAACTCAACAGTGTCTTTGGTACTAAAACAGTACACAATACCACAAACATTTAAAAAGTTTTCTTGAACATGCTTGACTACATCTTCTTTGGCATGTGGACCACTTTTGTTGATTACTCTGAAAACCAAATTGCCCCTGTTACAGGTTGATTGAAGAATGACAGGTTGAACCAAGCCTAGTTTCTCCACAATTCTCTGCTTTGTTTGGTTTGTTGCAGTTCCTGTAAACGCCACAGTGGGTCGGTTAAACTGCTTAAGTGTACTAAGCTGAGCATATGATGGTCTAAAACTTTGTCCCCATGTGTCAACACAGTGTGCTTCGTCAATTACAAACCGCAATAATGTTTTGTTTTCTGACATTGCTTGAAAACATGCTGTAGCGGGTGGAGACATGGCAAACTCTGGTGTCAAGTAAAAAAATTTGTAAGGTGATTCTTTGTCGGTTAGTTCATGAAATATAATGTCCCGTTCCTCAGGGGTCATACTTGAGTTGACACAACAGACATTTATCCCATAGCTTCGTAATTTTGAAACCTGATCATTTATTAGTGCCATCAAAGGTGTAATTACAACAGTAATGCCTGTGCTTGACAGACCTGGAATCCAATAACACATTGATTTACCTCCCCCTGTTGGTATAACTGCTAAGGCATCTTTATTTGTTGTAACTACATCTATCACTCTCCTTTGTATACCACGAAAGTTTTCATGCTGGAAAATGTTTCGAAGTATGTCAAGGTGGACGTCGCCAGATGGCTGTGGAATATTATTTTCTGTTGTCATCACATCACTTAACGACACAATATTTGCAATTGGTGTACTAGGCATATGTGATCTATGGTCCTATAAGAGAAAAATAAATTACTAACCAAATAATATTTTTTTAATTTAATTTAATTATGGGCATTTAATTGGCTAATTATGATCTCTGATATTCAATAAAAATTAGTTTTAGTCTCATTGGTCTTATAAAAATGCATAGATGGATTTTGTGCAGGGTGCAGGGGGTTGCTAACCCCCCCTCCAATATTAGCTATAACCCTCCCCCCAAACAAAATGTCCACCCCTCCAAAAAAAGTTTCAACCCCCCCAAAAAAAAATTCGGCATAATAAAAAATAATTAAATAGTCCACTCCAGCGTGCAGAGTGTTGATGATACAAAATAAACGTAGGGGTACACTCAAATAGAAAAAATACTCTGAAACTAATCGCTCCTCGCTTGCATTCACTGATTTATTGGAGCAATTGTAAAGTTTTGAAACTCTATTATCTCCCCTGAATAGAGTTTTCAGAAAATTTTTTCAGATTACGTTATATGAGTGTGATTTGTGTTATTTGGTACAACATTTTTACAGTCTTTCAAAATTATTTGGGGGGGGCTGCCCCCCTAGTGTCCGCCACTGTATGGGTGGCACAAATGTAAAAGTCCAAGACATATTGACAAATTATGTGACAACTTCCCACATTCTACTGTTAATAATGATATAATTTGTAACAAAGTCGACTTACTCGTTTAACAAAAAATGATTCTATCTGAAAAGACACACCACCATCATTTTGTTTTTTAATGTACCAGCAATGGAATTTTGCTTGTAACCCAGAGCTTTTAACCACAACATCACACGATTTATTTCCTTTGCTGTAGGAATTAAGGGCTCCACCATAGTACAATAGCAGGCAAATAAATTGCACAGCTTCACGCTCGTTTGGTACAGTGCACTCCATGTTGCGTCCACAAGCAGTTACGGTTACATCTTTGTAACTTTCTTTCTATATAAATATATTATTAAAAATAAATTTGGAAATATTTATAAATATTAACGGCGTATGATATACTTTATAATTTCAATATATTAATAAAACGAAGAGAGTATGAAACAATGTATACAGATAGAGGTACATACCTTTATTCTACGATAGTCAAATATCTTATCCATGCATTCCCGTGTTTCTTGTTCGTGTAACATCTTGCAAATACGAATGGATTCGTCTCTTGCTTCACTTGTAAATTCTTGCTTATGCCTTATTCGGAGATGATGACAAATACCATTTTCAAGAAAAAAATCCCTTCTACTAATACACTCCTCATTTGGACATAAAACCTTTCCCATGCATACATTTCTGTGAATCGGTCTTTCAAATTCAGAAAGAATCTGAGCAATTTCCTCATTTGCATTTATGAATAATAAATCGTCCGCCATGTTGTATGCAAATTCTGCCAGGCGCCTCGCTTCCCAAGTCCTCCCCAAGCACCCCCGCGCGCTCGCTCAGCCACTGATCTATATAAAAAAACTGTAGTGTTGCTGTTTTTTAGTACGTTATTTGCGCCTGGGTACGAGGCTGACTTGGAACAGTACTGTAATAATTTGATTATTTGAATCAAAACAATTCACAAACGTTATTATACTGACTAAACTTCTTAAATTTAAATATTTAGATTTGCACTGGTTTCACCCCGACAACATTTGTCAATTGTTTTGATTCAAATTTATATTACATTACTGACTACAGAAATTTGAAATGTTTGTTGATTTTCGTTGTCCAATCAGGGTTGAGTGTATTTTGAGTTGTTCAACGACTTCCGCTTTTTGTCCAGCAAACCCGGCACGCGGATATATTTTGGGCGAATTTTGTTATTCCCTCACGGATTTCAGAGCGAATTTAAGCTCTTTGATTAAAGCATCGTTGTTTTGAGAGTTATACGGTATCATTCTTGCAGGGGATATCGATTAATTGTGAAGGAAATGCATTAAAGGCGAAAAATCGAGGATAGTTTCGTGTGACATATGCCAGTCTGGGCTATTTTGTTCTCAATGTTTCCTTCCTTCCCTCGTTATAAGGAAGGCACAGGCGGGCGCGGGCAAATCGAGCCTGGGCCTCCTGTGATACGACCAGAGATACGACGATACCCACGTCTGTGCCCACGTGGGTATCGTCGTATCTGTGCCCACGTGGGTCTATGAACCACGTTTCGCCCTCCCTAAAATTCGCGGGTCGAGGATATTCGCTAGCGGATATCACTGATCTGAAATAAGACCAGTGGCGGATATGGACTCCCCGGTCCATATTCGCTAGCGGATTTTAGCTTTCCCGCGTTATTGCACCTCGCTCGTCCAATCCCTCTGACTCTTGAGAGACGGACTTGATCCAAGTCTAGATTTGGATCGGGGGGTCCATTTTGAGGGGGTCCAAATCTGCTGGGACACCGGACGCGATTCGGCAACGCGACGCGAATTTTCAGTTTTCAAAAACAAATAAAATCGTCAACGGGTAAAAATTTTACAAATGCAGACCAAATAGCTAAAGTTGCTTAAGTGGTCCCGAATATTTGAAAAACACTGAAAAATATTAAAGTTAAAAGTCATTGAAAACTGAAAATTCGCGTCGCGTTGCCAAATCGCGTCCGGTCCCTATGGGCCTTAAAGGGCTAGCAGGCTACTAAACTTCGACCACTGAACTGGAATCTGCAAAACCCGGAATGGAAAAAGCCGGAATCTGTAAAACCCGGAATGAGAAAAGTGGGAATCACCACGGAATTGCAAATCTGCTCCCCTTTTTGGTTTTATTTGCATGCTTAATTAATTCAGGGCGATTACTCAGGGTTCCGGAACCCTAAAGTTTGGTTTAAAGTTTCTAATTATTTGTTATTTATATCAATTTGTTTACTACCGTTTGCAAGCTACAGTCAACCGTGAGCATTTAATTTAAACGCGTTTGCATGTTTACGTTTGTAACGAACACGTTTGAAGGCTTGGACGCCATGGAAAACTGAAATCTTTGAAAATCATCTAACTTTTATCCTTAAACTTAAGGAGAGGAATGCAATTAGAAAAAAAATGACATCGAAACAACTTTTGGACAATTGTTATAGATAATTTTAATTGAAATTGGAGAAAATAAACATTTGGGCAATAATCCAAGGATTCAATTATTTCCAGCCTACTGAAAAAAAATTCCAGGACTTTCAAGGACCTTATCAGTTTCAAGGACTTTCCAGGATTTTCAAGGACCGTGGGGCCCTGGTCATATAGCCTGTTAGCTGAGCAAGCTTTTGTGAGATGTCATGGAGCGTTTCTTTTTGGGCACGGAAAAGTGAGGGCTTAACCCTTTTTCAAGGAAGTCAAAAATCTGCCATTAACTGAAATAGGTTTAACAATTTTAATATATGCAAATCATAGACATGCATTGAGATTTTATTTGTAATTTTATTCTACATTTATATACTACAGTTAATATAGTTGAAGTTTAAATGTCAAATGAGAAAAAAATAGCTTAAGTCTTTACGACTCGTGTTAAAGACGTGTGAATATATTAGGAGGCGTTTTTTTCTATGTTACATAATACGTGCTGAAAAGTATAACATAAGTATGGGTAATAGTATGGTTTCGAATGCAATATGGGAAAAACATGCAGGAGTGAGTTTTTCAAAGACGACTGAAGACAAATTACCCTGGGTGCCAGAGGTTCTTCCACGCTGGTAGGGGGGATAATGAGGGATACACGAGGAATCCTCGTGTATACCTCATTATCCCCTCTACGAGCGTGGAAGAACCTCTGGCACCCAGGGTAAAGACAAATTTGAAGTCTTTGAAAACTCAGAGAATGTATGTTTTTCCAGATTCCACGAGAAACAGTACTATTACTTATTAATAATATACTTGAAAACACTATGCAATCATATCCATGCGTTGGTCACATGCGAAATAGATAATTTTAATATAAACAATTTTGTTAGAAAATTTTGTCACTCGTAATGTTTGTATTTTTTTGTATTATTCTCACTTTTTGCATTGTAACTATTTCATTTTTTGCACTGTATTTCACTTTTTGGCACTGTATTTCGAGAAAATTGCAGTGCTCTTAATAGCCAATCAGAATTGAAAAATGTTTTCATGTATATTATTAAAAGTATAATATAATGTAAAGTACAATATATACCAAAAAAATCAATCGTTCAACAAACTTGAAAAGTATGTTTAGTGCTTTATCTGTAAAATTATGCTAAAATGAAGAGATTTTAATTGGTATGCCAAAGAGAAAATGATGCTTGAAGTTCAATAAGTTTTTGCTTATATTGCTGCAAATATGGCGTCAATTGTGAAGCCTCATTGATAATTGTATTTTGATTGACTATTTTATGTTTCTTCACTTGTCAAACTAGAAGATAAAGCTACCACAGAGTAATTTTGTGACGTAGACGGCAAAAATATTTTAGGTTTTGAATACTTTTCAACGCAAGTACGCGACATTTGAAAAAAATTGCCTCTTAACTGGATAAATCCGTGATACTTTGAGAATGTTGGAAATAAGAATATTTTACAAAGTTTAGTTTTAAATATAGTCTAGTTAGTTTAGTTTAGTTTTAAATGTAGTTTATTTTAGTTTAGTTTTAAATATAGTTTAATTTAGTTGGTTTAATTTAGTTTCACTTATGATGTGTACAAACATAGCTACATATATTCTTGCATGACGTCATCACAGTGACGTCATGATATTACATCATAATGATGTCATGTTATTGATTACTTAATCTCTTTAATTAGCTTCTTAAATTAGTCTTTGTTTAGATGGCGCGACGAATGGAATCGCGCAAAAAATGAATACCTATGAATATCTTTAGGAATGTTTCAAAGAGTTCTTAGAATATTTTACGCATTCTTAGAAATCAAACCTTGCGTTGTCTTTAGCATCAAATACGTCCTCGTATCGGTCAGAATTGCTGTCGTCATCACTACCATCGCTGTCGTCAACCTCATCATCATCATCATCCTCGCGTTCTTCCGCCTTCTCGGCGTCTTCTTTCTCTTCCCGCGCTAATTTTTCCTGGAAATTTTTGGTGATGATCTTGAGCTGATCTGAGGAGTACTTCGCCAATACCGTATCCAGTACCGGAATTGCATCACATACATCGCTTTCCGTGAAATTCTCGCCAGAAATTATGAGAAGCTCTAAGATTTGTCGTTTCTTGTCGGACTCTTCAACGTTGTCGGCTTTGAACCACGACGTGTGACGGATGCTTTCGAGACAAAGGCTTCGCAGCGCTAGTTGCACGTTGTCCGAAAGCTCTTCGATGTCATCGAGGTTTTGATCCAGCTCATCTTTGGGTTCTTTATAAATTGGTTGAATCGTGGCGCCTGTGCGTTTGACTGTTGCAACAAAACGATCCATCATAAAATCGGCTATTTCGGAGTCGCTAGATTGCTTCGAGATGTCAGAGTTCACCTCATTGAACGTGTCGTTGATGATGGACAGGAACACGTTCATCAGGATCATGACCATCACCAAGATATAAGAGAAGAAAAAAATCGGTCCAATTATTCGGTTGGTCGCATTCAGAGCGTCGAAGTCGAACGAACCCAGCGTCATCCCGAGCATGTTTGCCAAGCATCGGTCGAACGAGGAGTAATCCGTCATAAATGGCCCGAAAATTAAGAATGCAAACTGCGCGTAGGCCAGGAACACGATCATGAACAACAGGAAGAAAGACGCCAACGGCGCCACGCAAGCACGGAGCGTAGAAGAGAGTTTGCCAATCGTACGATTGAATCTCAACAGGCGTAGAAATTTGAGGAAAGATACGAACACGCATAAACCCATGAAAGCACTGACAAAACCGTCCAGTGCCACAACGTAGTTGAAGTTGGTGAAGGAGTAAGGATCTTCGTTTGCACGTTTTATGACCACCTTCGTTGCGACCATTCTCATGAAGTAGAATACGATTGTAATGATCGAGCTCACAATTACAAACAAGTCAAAATAGTTCCAAGGATCGCGGAAATAAGCTCGTTTTCCAAGCGCACGAAGTTCTTTCGCTTCGCGAACTATGTAGTAAACTAAGTAACCAAAAAATACAAGTTCTAACGCCATTATAACCTTCGCTTCGGCTCCGATGTATCGGTAAAGACGAGTGGTGGCGATGTAGGGGTAGGGGTAGTAACCGCCTGTTGGCAGAATTTCGGTCAAGATGTTGATCACTGCAAAGAAGTTGGTGAAAGGATTGTAGATCGTGAATTCGAAGAATACTGCTCGGGTTTTGCCGTCCAACCATTTCATCTCTTCTAGTTCAATCGATCTGTTGATCGCTTCTTCGTACGAGGCGCTGAGTTCAGCAACAAAACCTACAGATAGGAAAACATGGGTTTAGTAAAGTCATTCTTCATTCATTCACCAAACTATCTTTATTTATACTGGATACCTCTATCAGTTCTAAAATATCTCTTATAGATCCAATGTTACTACAGGAGGAAACCTAAACTAAACTAACTTTATTTATACTGGATAGGTCTATCAGTTCTAAACGGTTCTCCCTAGAGGTTCAGTAAAGATCATCTCTTATTGATCCTGTGTTACTACAGGAGGAAACCTAAAACTAAACTAACTTTATTTATACTGGATAACTCTATCAGTTCTAAAGTGTTCTTCCTAGAGGTCCAGTAAGGATCATCTCTTATTGATCCAGTGTTAGTAAAGGAGGAAACCTAAACCAAACTAACTCTATTTATACTGGATAGCTCTATCAGTTCTAAACTGTTCTTCCTAGAGTTCCAGTAAGGATCTCTTATTGATCCAGTGTTAGTACAGGAGAAAACCTAAACTAAACTAACTTTATTTATACTGGATAACTCTATCAGTTCTAAAGTGTTCTTCCTAGAGGTCCAGTAAGGATCATCTCTTATTGATCCAGTGTTACTACAGGAGGAAACCTAAACTAAACTAACTTTATTTATACTGGATACTTCTGTCAGTTCTAAACTGTTCTTCCTAGAGTGTTAGTAAGTCTAGCACTTATTGGCCATGTAATACTATCTGGAGAAAACCTATGGTGTTTGGTAAAGTCAAACTGGAAGTACCCTTCTCACATGTGACTGAGGTGAAATTATAATCACACAACTGTATATTACAGAAATCGAACGTCGGTCACAGAGCTGAATTTGGGCTATCATGCAATGGCTTTATTTTCTACACAATTTTTATCTTTCTAAAATATATTTGAAACTTGTCTCAACTTACCACCAGCCCAGTAGGTTTTGAAATATCCCCAGTAAGGCGTGCCTTGGAGTTGCCAACCCGTTTTATACGACCACGGCGATTTAAACCATTTATCATTTCGAACTTCTTCAATTTTGCTTTTATTCATGGGTACCCAGCCTTCTTCATAATAACCTTCGTCCTCGTTGTCAAAGCTGTAGGGTAGCGAACACCGTCCAACTAGGTGATTCACACCTTTCGGGAAGACACAACCCTCTAAAATGATTGAAAAAGAATTTGCAAGTTCAGATTTCTGACTGTGCTGAAAATCCCTGTCAAAATAGTTCAGATTATAGTTGATAACTCAACTGACAAAGTACATAAAACATACAATCTCAGAACATAATACATACAATCTCAGAAATAGGGATACTGATTAGCACCACCTATGCTGAGAGAGGAATTCGGCAAGAGGTGCTTCAGTTATAACGGTGCCTTCGATTGGAATAATCCTCCCCATGAGGCAAGAATTGCTGAATCCTTAAGCTCTTTCAAATCGATATTAAAACAAAGAATGAGTTGAAACTTGCTTGTGTATGATAGTGCATTAAAAACCACCGTCATATTTCTTCATTTCTTGTAAATTATATTTCACGCCCCTCATGGAAATCAGCCTCCCAACGGTTGTTGAGGCTAGCGTGGTTAAATAAAGTTTGTATGTATGTATGTTATTTCGCTATCTGAAACCATAGTCAATAGAATAAGATTAGGAAACTCAATGCAGACATGATATACCTCATGTTTTTGTCTTGGTTTATGCAAGAAATGGTCGTTTCAGCGTCACGTGTGTATTGTTTTTTTCGCCAGAGCAACCAATAGCAGTGTGTTAGTTTAATTACCCAGTCGTGATATTAATTACACAATGGTTAAATGAAAACATAGCTATTGGTTGCTCAAGCTAAAATACAATACGCACGATGAACCGACCATTTCTTGCATAAACCAAGAAAAAACATAGATAACGAGGGTCTATTATGTCTGCATTGAGTTTCCTAACCTTTTCTGTTTTACTTGGCTGTTCAAGACAGCGAGTTCCTACTTTAGTTACATAAAAACTAAACAGTACTAACTGTCGATCACTCGCAGCTGTCGAATCCTAGCAATGCCCACGAGCCAAGCATGAGCACGGTCGGCGGTGTAACCTGATGGATATGGATGTACTTGATGATACGTTTTTGAGCCATTGAAGCCAGGTGTGGTAATGGCATACATTTCATTGCCATCAGGTGTTTTAACTTTGGAGACTTTGTCGTCGTAGGGGCCATACCAAAATTCAGGTTTCAGCGTTGGAAGAAGACTGTTCCTCAGGTACTTGTAGAAACCTTTAATATCGCTTATCTATAAAATACATTATAGAAATAAAATAAAATATTTAAAGCTCTCCTTGCACACACCTCTCTAATACAGACACCTCTCTAACATGGACATCTCTCTAATACAGATAGACACCTCTCTAATATGAACATCTCTCTAATACGGACACCTCTCTAATATGGTTACCTCTCTAATACAGATAGACACCTCTCTAATATGAACATATCCCTAATACGGACATCTCTCTAATACGGACACCTCTCTAATATGGTTACCTCTCTAATACAGATAGACACCTCTCTAATATGAACATATCCCTAATACGGACATCTCTCTAATACGGACACCTCTCTAATATGGTTACCTCTCTAATACAGATAGACACCTCTCTAATACAGACACCTCTCTAACATGGACATCTCTCTAATACAGATAGACACTTCTCTAATATGAACATATCCCTAATACGGACATCTCTCTAATACGGACACCTCTCTAATATGGTTACCTCTCTAATACAGATAGACACCTCTCTAATATGAACATATCCCTAATACGGACATCTCTCTAATACGGATACCTCTCTAATATGGTTGCCTCTCTAATACAGATAGACACTTCTCTAATATGAACATATCCCTAATACGGACATCTCTCTAATACGAACACCTTTCTAATACAGACACCTCTCTAATAGGAACATCACTCTGATATGGACACCTGTCTAACACAGACACCTCTCTAATATGGACATCTATCTAATTCAGACATCTCTCTAATACAGATAGACACCTCTCTAATATGAACATCTCCCTAATACGGACATCTCTCTAATACGAACACCTTTCTAATACAGACACCTCTCTAATACGAACATCACTCTGATATGGACACCTGTCTAATACAGACACCTCTCTAATATGGTCATCTCTCTGATACAGATATCTCTCTAATATGAACATCTCTCTAATTCAGACATCTCTCTAATACAGATAGACACCTCTCTAATATGAACATCTCCCTAATACGGACATCTCTCTAATACGAACACCTTTCTAATACAGACACCTCTCTAATACGAACATCACTCTGATATGGACACCTGTCTAATACAGACACCTCTCTAATATGGTCATATCTCTGATACAGATATCTCTCTAATATGAACATCTCTCTAATTCAGACATCTCTCTAATACAGATAGACACCTCTCTAATATGAACATCTCCCTAATACGGACATCTCTCTAATACGAACACCTTTCTAATACAGACACCTCTCTAATAGGAACATCACTCTGATATGGACACCTGTCTAACACAGACACCTCTCTAATATGGACATCTATCTAATACGGACATCTGTCCAATACAGACACCTCTCTAAGACGAACATCTCTAACACGGGCACCTCTCTAATACAGACACCTCTCTAATATGGTCATCTCTCTGATACAGATATCTCTCTAATATGAACATCTCTCTAATTCAGATATCTCTCTAAAGCCCGTTCTCCACTAGGCGATTTTTTGGCGCGACGCGAAGCAAAAAACAAATCTTGGCAATGTGTTGGTCAGCGAAAATATTCGCCACGAAAAAGTTGGATCAGTTCCACTTTTTTACTATACTGTTCATGCAAACAAATTCACCTAGTGGAGAACGGGCTTAATACGAACATCTCTCTAATATAGACACCTCTCTAATATGGACATCTCTCTAATATGGACACCTCTCCATTCTGAATACCTCTCTAATAGGGGTACCTCTCTAATATGGACACCTCTCTAATACAGACATCTCTCTAATACAGACACCTCTCTAATGTGGAGATTTCTATAATACAAATACCTCCCAGACACCTTTCTAATATGGACAGCTCTCTAATAGAGACACCCCCTAATAGAGACATCCCTCTAATAGAGACATCCGTCTAATAGGGACACCCCTCTAATAGGGATACCTTCTTCATCTCAAATATATCCTAACTAGCCCACTATGGAATACAATTAATTTAAAGATGGCATCAAAATTAACGTAAACTTCCACTTACATCACCCAATGCCATCTTGCCAGCGTAAGTTCCACCCATGAAATATGACGTCAGGGCATTATTCACGTGATGGGACTTGTAATCCCGATTGCCATACGCGACCGTCAACAAGATCAATACAAATACCATATAACTGAGAATCTCTTTAATTATCTTGTACATCAACTTCTGCTTTAGTTTGAATCGCCTCATTTCTTCCAGTTTGACTTGGTCCGGCTGCTTTGGCATCATGGCTATTTTTTTAATGTCCTCCAACTCTTCCTCCTCCGTCTTTTCCTTATTGTGAATGAGTTCTTCATCCGCTTTCACTGGACTGTCCGCTTTCTTGTCTTCTTCCTCCTCTTCTACTGCCTGAAGGAAAAGAATCGTAGTTCAGGACTTATACACTACAGACAGATTTTCTGGGGTGCAGGGGGTGCGCACCCAGAAAAATTCTTTTTTCTACCCCCCCCCCCAAAGTATTCCCACCCCACCTAGAGAAATTTGCAACCCCTCCAGAAATTTAAATGCTCATTGAACTACACGACATTGAAATAAGAATTTTGAACTGAGTAAGACTAAAAACAAGGATTTTGAACTAAATATAAGACCAAAAATCTCAAAAATTTTACCCTGTATGTTATGCTATATTTTAACAGTAAAAAATCATTTCAGTGTACTGAGAATCTTAATACTTTACGAATATAACATAAAGCTAATTTAGATCACACGCATAGGTGTGATCCTAGGTAAATACATCTTGATAGTTGACTCCTGTATATGACTCGTGTGGTTTCCTAGCACAATGCCTACCTTATCTGGGTTCTTGATAACCAGAGCGAAGAATGTGGCGGCAGCAAACACTTTCAATGGTTGCGAGATCAGCACATCTTGCCAGAACGATATCATCATGGTCATGATCCATTTCTGGGATTTCTCCTCACCGAAAGTCAAACCATAAAACACAGTGAATGTCGCCGACACGAGACTTGCTAAGGCGACCACAACATAAGCGACGTAGATGACCCAATGTGGGTATTTGCCTTTTTTCTTTTTCTTCTTTTCCTTTTTCTTCTTGTCCTCCTCGCTGACCTAGACAAACAAAATATATTATACTGAAGCCCTGCTCAAACGAGGATGGCAATTGATGAGAATCGAGAGTTTGCATGAGAGTTTTTTCAACTCTCGCGCTCCGGTCAAACGAGAACAAGAGTTGCATGAGGGTTGAGAAGCGAGAGTTTGTATGAGAGTTTTTTCAACTCTCATGCCCCGGTCAAACGAGAACAAGAGTTGCATGAGAGTTGATGAGAGTTGATGAGAGTTGAGAAGCGAGAGTTTGCATGAGAGTTTTCTCAAATCTCATGCCCCGGTCAAACGAGAACAAGAGTTGCATGAGAGTTGATGAGAGTTGATGAGAGTTGAGAAGCGACAGTTTGCATGAGAGTTTTCTCAACTTTCATGCCCTGGTCAAACGAGAACAAGAGTTGCATGAGAGTTGATGAGAGTTAAGAAGCGAGAGTTTGCATGAGAGTTTTTTCAACTCTCATGCCCCGGTCAAACGAGAACAAGAGTTGCATGAGAGTTGATGAGAGTTGAGAAGCGAGAGTTTGCATGAGAGTTTTCTCAATTCTCTTGCCACGGTCAAACGAGAACAAGAGTTGCATGAGAGTTGTGATGAGAGTTGAGAAGCGAGAGTTTGCATGAAACTTTTCTCAACTCTCTTGCCCCGGTCAAGCTAGAACAAGACTTACACGAGAGTTGATGAGAGTTGAGAAGCGACAGATTGTATGAGAGTTTTCTCAACTCTCATGTCCCGGTCAAACTAGAACAAGAGTTGCACGAGAGTTAACGAGAGTTGACTGGATATTACAGCGCGCGTAGCGAGAACGCTCGTCAACTCTCATCAAAATTTCAACCAGTTCAAAGTTGATGAGCGTACATGAGAGTCGGCTGTCAAACGCGAGCGAGTGTTGCAACTCTCATTCTCGTTCGACAGAAGCTTTATCGTCGTTCAACCATACAAACAACTTACAATACAACAGGAATATACAAACCTCTTCAACTTCAATGACTTCTTCCTTGTTTCTTTCAATTTCCTCCCTTCCCTCTTCGCCATCTGGAGAGTACTTGTCACCCTGAAAAACGAAAGTAACGAGTCTCTGTTTAAACAGCCAGACAGGCTAAATTTGCATTGTTTGCAGCTTCGCCTGGTTCGGCCTATAATTGTAAAAAATTTTCGTTCAAAAATTTGATCTTCAAAAAACTCATCTACTACCAGTTCTATTGAACGAGATGTTCAAAATCCTAAAGTTTGCTTGTTGTTCTACCGAAATGTGGGGCAAAGCAAGACTCAAACTTTCCAACACAATTTCCAACAGCAAACGGAAATCGCTGTTGAAAATGAAATTATTGATGGCAATTTTTTTTAGAATTGCAGTATTCCAAAGGTCGT